CCGAGCTGTGTTGCTCAGATGAAATTCTGCGTTATGAGTAATAAATACCGACTTTATTAATTGCCAGATAAAGCACGGTATTTAACCCATTTCCGATACAATCAATTATTGGGTTCATGGCGAATATTCGGTTTAATCTCTGGAATCAGTTGCAGTGAGAGTCTTAGTAGGCCTCAAAAGCAGTCCGCACGGTGGATGCCTTAGCCGAACGGAAGGACCAGATCCAAGCACGCTAGGCGTTATTGGGGGTGTGCATGTTTAACAAAAGCCACACATGGGAGGGAATGTGGTGGCACACCTAGGTGCAGCCTCTTGCAGACTTGCCACCTAATCCCGCCTTCGTGACTCTGTCATGACAGCGGGGGCAGACGGTTGAGTGAGGACAGAGTGTGGCTGATGCCCCGCAGGTCTGCTATCTTTTTAAACTTATTAACGCATAAGTAACCGTTCCTGCCTCCATCATGTTGTGGGACAACAGTTCAATCGTCTTTGCCATCGATGTCTACCATGTGTTCTACATAAGGGTAGAGTAGATTTGGTGAAGTATGCGTGAAGTAGTTTATAGTGATAATAATCTTGCACAGCGACTCACGCACTCTCCTCCTTTCCCACCTGGGGCCGGTGTCAAGATATGCCAAGAAAACTGAAAGTGCGAGAGGGCGCAGATGGCTGGCATGATCCGACCCGCACCTAATCGTGCCACCACACCCTATGCTTCTCATCAGACACTTGACCAGGATTTTAGCCGACAGCAATAATGTGGGGGTCGAAAAGGATTCCGACTGACGCGACGTGAGCTGGTAGCTGAATGTTGGCATTTGTAATGGGTATGCATTCCCGATAAGGCCTGCCACAATCCAATGTGGCCGCAGTCTTGGTCCGGCGCATCTATCGCGTGGTCCGTTTTAGGCAGGCGTCGTGAGAGCCGGTATTGGGCGGCCGATTTACTTAATGTTGGTCGATAAGTGTTGACGCATGCGACGTCAAACATTCTAAGTGTAGTTGCGTGTGCTCATGTACTATAACACTTTTTGTGATTCCCGGACGATTTGTTCCTCTGCGCACTTTTTCTTATTGGCGATCAATGCCAGGATTGGTAATGATCATTCATCGAAGGGCAGCCATCGCCAAGAGTGAGAAGCAGTGATTTATTCTGAAAGCTCTGTAATTTCGCTTCTCAAATTTCGTAAATTAACAGATGACTAATTTGTCTGTTCTGACTATATGACCTTGGAATGTGCTAAGGTGTCCTAGT